AGATTGACGCTTGCTAGAACAAATTGTCATTGTGTTCCATTTATATTATTTCTAGTTTGCTATCCATTTCGTTAAACGTACCTTAAATCGTTTTATGCTTTACCAAAATTATAGAATCGAAAAAGCGATTATCAATACTTAGTTTCTGATGGCTCTGTTCCTTGGATACAGATGAGGATTCTGTTAAGGATAAAACAGAGCAAGAACAGCTGCAAGACTGCACAGAAGACTTGGAGAAAAATGAAGTGGCATACTCGGAAGGCACGATATCCGGTGAATTGGGAAAATCAATTAGAACGAAAAGTGAAGATAGTGGAAAGCTAAGGAGCATGTCAAGTCGTTCTTTCAGCTTCCAAGGGAAGAACTTGAAGATAAACATTCCTCTAACAACCCCGTCGCGCACTTTCTCAGCGATCAGTTACATAGTTTGGGAAGATCTGGTGAATCAGTCCTCGAAAAAATGCGGCGCAGACGGTGGTAAGCTGCACATCAACAAAACTAAGTTGCATCATGCGGAAAAAATGATCCAAGGAGCTTTCGTCGAGCTCTACAAAGGGTTGGGATACCTCAAAACTTACAGGTAAAATTTTTTAGTTCAAAAGATGAACAAATTTGGAGTTGTTATTCGATGATGCAGGGGAAGCTTACGTGTTGTCAAATTTTCAGGAACTTGAACATGCTTGCTTTTATAAAGATTTTAAAGAAGTTTGACAAAGTAAGTAAAATGCATAACCTTTAATTCATCTTTTTAAATTTGCACTTTGGTTTTTGCTTACGTAATTAAATTGATTTTTTTTCTTTTCTTTTTCAGGTCACTGGAAAACAAGTTCTTCCGATTTATCTAAAAGTTGTGGAGAGTTCCTATTTCAACAGCTCAGATAAGGTACTTGACAAACCCTAATTTTTTGAATTTTTGAAGAATAACATCAACAATCAAGCTTTATTCCACTAAGCAGAGTAGGTTGTATGAATCATAAAACGTCTTCGAACGCGAAGTATCTGATTCCCATCATGCTAGCTATTTTTTAGTAAATTTTTGCATGATCTTTTGATTGGATCATGCTCAAATGTTGGCCACTTTCTATCATTTCGTCCAAATATTTTCCCGACAATTTCAAGTGGCCATTGATCCTGCAGTTTATGACTGCACAATGGATGCCATTAGATTCATAAAAATCGAACCCAGATATGCTTGTCTGATACGGAAACTAGAAAAAGTAAACTTTGCAGGTCAATAGTATTTTTGCTTATTAGTTTAAAAAATGACAGGTGATGAACTTAGGAGATGAAGTTGAGGAGCTTTTCACCAAACACCTTGCTGAAGAAGACCGGCGAAAGGCCATGAAGTATCTTAAACCGATTGAGCGTAAAGAATCACATTCTGTAACGTTTTTCATTGGTAGGTACAAAATTTTTGTGAAAAGTGACCACAAGGGGTATGTTATGCCAAATTACAACAAATTTGGATGAACATTTTTATAAAGATAAAAATTAAAGTACCTAAGTGGTTCTCCTTTACACAACTTTAGCCCTGGAACTTAAAAGTTTGTTCATTTTGTGAAGAGATATTTCCGTGTGCGGAATAAAGTTTAATACGTCAAGTATCATAATACAATTGGTTAAAAAAATTCAAGTTTCCAACTACTTATATTACTATACTTGTGTACCAAACCGTGTACTCAGATACCACTAAAAATTCTCCACTTTGTGACCATACAAGATTAAGGAACCAAAAGTGTACGGACCCAATAGCCCACTAGGGTTTTGAAACACAAGGCTGTGCCTTGTCGACTTTTTGGGTGGGAAATAAAGCATAGGTCGCTACTGCCATTGTTATTTTTTGGACAACTTTTTTATTGTACAAAGGTAGAACCCTAAAAAGGGACATCAACATCCAGATTCTAGAGGGCAGCAAGATTTTATTTCCTCGGTGCGGAACCGAGCTACTCGCATGTACACTGCTTAAGAACCCACAAGTCCTCAAGGTTAGTCCAAGTGGTGAGAGAGAACAACGTAATTAGTTAGGATCCGAGTAGATTCAGTTTTTATAAATTAATTTTCGAGTAAAAATCATAATATCGAACGGGAATATTGGTAATGGTGTTTGTTTTCTTGCCTAGCAAAAAAAAAGAAGTGGAACACAAAATATAGGTTGCATTACATTGTGAACGCCTGTACTTATACATAATATATGAAACTAATAAATATGTGACACATTGGACTACAATGACTAACTACTCATGTGACTCGTCTTTTTTAATTATAATTATCAGGTTTATTTACGGGATGTTTTATCGCACTCTTAATTGGATATGTCATTATGGCTCATATCACGGGATTGTACAAACGGCAGCCAAATTCAGTCTACATGGAAACTGCCTACCCTGTACTTAGGTAAGCATTGCCGCAAATAATTTGAACAAGTCTTTAAAATGTTTGATACTTTGGTGTAAACAAGGAGAGGCTAAAGAACTAAACTCTTGTTTTGTTTTTGCAGCATCTTCAGCCTACTGTTTCTACACTTCTTCTTATACGGCTGCAACATTTTCGCGTGGAGAAAGGCGCGCATAAATTACAGTTTCATCTTTGAACTGTCCCAGACGAAGGAGCTAAAGTACAGAGATGTGTTCTTGATCTGCACCATGTCGTTGGCTACTGTGGTCGGAGTCTTGTGTGTTCATTTGTTACTGCTAACAAAAGGCTACTCATATGCCCAAGTTCAAGCAATTCCTGGCCTTCTTTTGTTGGTAAATTCTTCCACTCATGACATGATAAATCATAAAAGGAAGATCAAATAATCCATATTTACAGTAAATATTAATCAGGTTTTAACTTTTCTTCTCCATGTGCAGATGTTTTTACTACTACTTGTGTGCCCCTTCAACATCATTTACCGATCAAGCCGTTTCCGCCTTCTTCGTGTCCTAAGAAATATCATTCTGTCGCCTCTGTACAAGGTACTGCATCTCTTCAACATGATTAAAACAAAACATTTTTAGTAACAGCTAAAACCATATTAGACCAATTAAATCATATTTCTAATTAGTTTCTGTTTGCTGTCTGCAGGTTGTCATGCTGGACTTCTTCATGGCAGATCAACTTTGTAGTCAGGTATCATTCAGCGCTAAAGCAAATATATTCGTTTCTCAAGTTATGAACTTTTCCGGTTCGTCATAACAATAGATTTATCTGTATTCAATAGGTTCCGATGCTTAGGAACCTCGAGTATGTGACGTGTTACTACATAACCGGGAGCTACAAAACTCAGGACTATGGCTACTGCATGAGGGCGGGGCATTACCGAGATCTTGCTTATGCCGTGTCCTTCCTACCTTATTACTGGAGAGCAATGCAGGTATACTAATTAGGCTCTTTGGCTATCTGCTATGATCTTTACCGTCTCTTTTCTTCGACATCTGACAAAGATTTTGTTAAATTGGATTTCAGTGTGCTCGGCGGTGGTTTGATGAGGGACAGACAAGCCACCTTGTGAATCTAGGCAAATATGTCTCAGCAATGTTAGCAGCAGTAGCTAAAGTAGCTTATGAGAAAGAAGGGAGCATTGGGTGGCTCTGTCTTGTTGTGATCATATCGACTTTCGCAACAATTTACCAATTGTATTGGGACTTTGTAAAGGATTGGGGTTTGCTGCAAATGAATTCCAAGAATCCTTTGCTTAGGAACGAATTAATGATTCGCCAAAAGTTCATATACTACATCTCAATGGTAATTGCCATGACCCCCTCAAATAAATCACAAATTTGGAGAACAAGATTTTTCTTGTGTGGCAAGCAACCGAGAACGAACATATTCTCGAAATAAAATTCTGGTAAATGTCATGATAAAAGATTCCCAGTCTATTCAATGAGGACAACATGACAGCAAAGGATTAGATGTTGTCTGAGAAGTTGCACGTACACCATCGAAACAACTTTTGTGTTTTCTTTCTAGGTTATAAATTTTATCGGGTTTCAAATCCGGTGTTTGACGAATGTTTTGGATGCTATCAATGCAGGGATTGAACCTTATTCTCAGGCTAGCTTGGATGCAAACTGTTCTCCATTCAAGTTTTGGACATGTAGATTACAGGGTAACCGGGCTGTTTTTGGCAGCTCTTGAAGTCGTCAGAAGAGGGTTGTGGAACTTTTTCAGGTAAAGAAAAACCCTTAAATTCCTACGATTCTTATTCTTATCAGTCTGCATCTTCAGCCATATGCAGAATTTGACATGAAACTCAAATTACCCTTTTTCGATTTCAATATCTCCAACGCATGATATGTTCGAATGGTACAGGTTAGAGAATGAACATCTGAACAATGCAGGCAAGTTTAGAGCAGTTAAGACAGTACCACTGCCTTTTCATGAAGTGGATGATCAGGACTGATGCCCCATTGGCAACAGCTGCATGTAGAATTCGATGTTTAGGCATTTTCGAAACAAATGTTTCCAAGAGGAGGAATCTTGTTGAAAGCTCGTTCCAAAGTTGGTGTAATAAGACACATCAACTGTGTAATCTCTTTTTGTTCGATCGGGATTTTAGGAGAACATTTGTTCATACTTGTACACAAAAAAAAATTCCTTCATCAATGAAAGGAAAAGAAAATTGATGCAAAGTGCAAATACATTAGTACTGTACAGTTCACTCATTGCTGCTATTTAGATTCTGTTCTTGTTCCATTGGAACCTCAAAATGCTGAGTAGTTAATCAGAGGACGGATGAGACTAAAATACAAGTGATTGCGTGGTTAACTAGTTTCTGCATATTATCAGTAAGTCACATGATCAAAACGGTCTCACTTGATAAATTTTTCTGAATCTAAGTTGGGTCGTGTCATAATTTGGGTTTTGAAGGTTTAAGGACCGTTGGTTGCGCAACTCAGCCTTTTCCATATAACACGTGGCAAAAACCCAATTGATTTGCCCAAAATAATCAAAGCCCAAAAGCAAGTACATTCTTGCAACTGCAATCGGAAACAAAACAGAGAAAATTGCGTACAGTCTACAGAGCTACATCAATGGCGGCGACACCAACCGCCTGCGCTTTCTCCCCCGCCATTCCATCCCTCTTGCCTCTCATAACAAACCCTAATAAACCCATTTCCTTTTTCCGACCGTTTTCTGATTCCCAGAAAAACCCTACCGTCGGCCTCTCCTGGTCCTCAACCCACGGACGAAGAAACCCCCTCTGGTGAATTTACTCTTCTGGGTTTCTTTCAATTTTTCATTTTTCTTCGTCCACATATATGTTTATGCTAAAGTTTAAATCTTTAATTTCAGCTCAAGAATCTCCCATACGGCAGGTGTAGCACCAAAGCAGCGCTATGTGGTGCTGGCCGTTTCTGGGTTGATGAGTGGCAATTCTGAGACGGACGCAGAATGGGAACCCAATAATCCGAATACGGTATACAAAAAAATATGCGATTCGAGTGTAATTTTATAGAATCATTGTCTTTTTCGTATCGATTTTGCTCGTAGTCATTTAATTTTTCTTACAAGTTGTTTGAGACCAATGTGACATATATTATCATATCAATGTATGTGTTTGTTTTGTCATTGCTTGGATGTGTTAACTTCTTAACTTGGGTTCTATTTCTTGGATGCCCTTTTCGAATTTTCGAAGGATGCTACGATTGACATACAACTTCCAAGAAGAAGCTTGCTTGTGAAATTTACTTGTAATTTGTGTGGTGAAAGGACAAATAGACTCGTCAATCGATTGGCTTATGAGCGGGGGCTCATTTACGTACAGGTACTTATTCCTCTTGTTGATTGATATAAGATTCAGTGTTGTTTGTTCTTGATGATGAAAAACCTGTTAAAATTTTTTTCTGTCAATTTGTTGATATTTTGATACTTTTCTACGATCGGTTTCAACGTTGCTTCTAGTTCTCTTAATCTAAAAGTAAGAAACAAGTCTTGGGTTCATGTGACTAATTAGCACTGCTTCTCATCAGTGTGCAGGGTGTCAAAAGTATCACAAGTTAGTTGATAATCTTGGCCTTGTGGTTGAGTATGACTTAAGGGAGGATTTCGATGTGGATACAAATGCGGATGAAGTTTGATCCGACGTTGAATTCATTACGCTACTTTTGAGTTGTCTTTGTGATAAAGTAATTCTTGGTGGTTGTTGGAATTCATCTCCCTTGATATATTGAACACGAAGTAAACAAAAAAGTGGTAAATGTTGATCGTTCATCTTTTGTATTATTGATTCTTAGATCTAGGGTTGTACATATGAAAAAATCATCTTCTTGCAATATATTCTCTTGAAAAAAATCTTCTGGCATTGTACCAATAAATTCATAGTTCAACGTCTAAGATTGATAAGAACTTTAGCCTGTCTTTGCCAGCAGTATAGTGATTGCTAACCCGATTGTAACCCAGAATCCTGATATCCCTCCTTTCTGGTGGAGTGCATTTCCTCCATTCTACGAGACAAAAAAGAAAAAGGTCATAGAAAAATTTTTAAAGTTGTCAAGTAACATCTATAAAATTTGAGTTCCATCATGCAAATATGGTGTTCTATGGTAATAAGAGTAAGAGCTGGTTAAATTATTTACCAAATTCAAACTTGGTGATGGGGCCGGTGTTGCATCGTCCTCTGTATCTGTCACCGTAGGTGGTGCTGGGGGACTTTGTACAGTTGGTGCGGGTGCTGGTGCATGATGATGCTTGTGCTTGTGCTTGTGCTTGTGCTTCCCCTTGTGTTTGGGTGGAGCAGGTGAAGGTGCTTGCACTGGTGGTGAAGCTGGCGGCACAATAACTGGTGCTGGCGCTGATACTGGGGGTGCTTTTGATGGTGAGGGCACTGGTGCTACTTTAGCTGGTGCCGGTGCAGGAGTTGCTTTAACAGGAGCTGGGGCTTGAACTGGTGTTGGAGATGCAGGTGGCGCTGCTACAGGAGGTGGCAATGTTGGTGTCGAAACAGGTGGTGATGGCGGCGGATTCGGTGGCTGTGATGGAGTTGACACAGGTGGACTTTGGGGTAGCGGGGGTGGGACTGCTGGGCTTTTGGATGGTGCTACCTTAGGGGAAGGTGATGCAGGTGTGGTGGTTGGTGGGGTTGGTGCTGCATTTACAGGCGGTTGTGTTACTACGGTTGGTGCAGTAGAAGGTGGTGGGGTTGTAGTCGGCAGAGTAGCCGGTGCAGCAGGTGTGGTAGTAGGTGGGGGCGTTGCAGCTGGCAAAGTAGAGGGTGCGGCTGCCGGTGTCTGTGCACCGGTAAGGATTACTTGAAAGCTGAGGCAACATAGAACGAAAGCCAGCAAAATCGAAACCATTTTTGGAAGACGAATTCCAGTGAACAGCATCGGAGGGTTGTCGGTTATATATTAGGTTTGAAGGGAGAGAAAAATGCAGTTTGGTGAAACAATAGAAGTGGGGAGAGATGTAATTTTCATGTGATGGGAACTTCTCTGCTAATCATTTGGCGAGCAAACGTGGTTAATGAAGTTGAGAAGCTGGCCAAGAAATTGACAAAAGTCTCGCGCCACAAATGTAGAAGAAACGTCTACTTTTGATCTTAACAGCAAAGCTTAACTCTGGTAGGAGGTGTCTATCAGTCTTTTCTGAAAGCAAGGTCCTCAATACTCAATTCAACACCCTTCATAACACGGGACGCTGCGATGGCAGTATTGTCTTATGCAAGTTACTCTCCTATTAAGCGCAGATGACCGTACGGCATTTATTTGTTTGTTTATCAGTCATTTGGTAATGTCTCACTGTCAAAGGGAGGTAGGAGGCACTGTGATTAAAACAAAGGATGGGCAAACAAAGGCCAACAATAATCCAACGTGAATATCATGAATAAAAGTTTTATTTAAAAAAAAAAAAAGACACTATCTAGAACATCAAAAAAAATTGGGTGTTCTGATGTATCAGGTACTTTGAACGTTTTAACCATTTTTAGATCTTTATTTTTGTATTTTTAAATAAAGATCTAACAGTTAAAATTTCTGAAGTACTGAATACTCACCCAAGAAAGTACCCTAGAGCATTATCCCATTACGTGGCCTTGCTTGTAAATGCTAGGGTACTTTTGGCACACGCTTTTGTTAAAAGTGCAATTAAATGTTTAATAAAAATTCATATAGTTTTTCAATATAAATTGATAAGTGCTTCTCCGAAAAGTGTTTTTATAATTTCCAAGTATTTTTTCAAAAAAATTTTGCCGGATGGTCCCAAAATCTAGTCATCCCATTTGACATCATGCATGACGTAGTCATAGTCGGATCACTAGTGAAATCTAATTACACTGTTAGATATATTTTGGCAAAATTTTTGGACAAACTGAGAGAAAGACAACTAAATTTCGCCAAAATTCGACACAGATTTGTACATTCATCAAACTAACAGTCTTTGAACTCTTACAAACAGAACATTATGTGGAAGATGCGATGCATCTTCGTAATTAACTTTGATGGATGGAGAGAAATTCGATGAAGACGCGGGGGCGCTGCTGCCGGGTCTGCTTGCTTTTCCTTCTTCCTTCTCCTCAGCTGGAAGAATTGCTGCATTATATCTGCACTATCCGATGCCAACACGCCACGTCGGATTGTCATATTTGGGTGGAATGGGTGGACAGGAGGAGCTGGTTTGTCTGAGTGTTCCGAGCTATTTCCTTCACCCCCATCAGGAAAAAGTCTGCAAGCATATTTACAGGTTGAAAAGATAAGGAGCAATTGAAGAACACAACTCGCATACCTTATCCAGTTAGGGGTTACGAAGGAGGACACAACTCGCATACCTTAATGAAAAAAGAAAGACTGCTTTCTAACTTTGCAATGTCATCATGCAGACACAGAAGCCAGAAGGGAATTTTTAATGAAGAGGAAGAAAAGCATGATTCCATGACTAGAATATGTCCATTCAGATCATCAATATGCATGTATATATATATTGAAATGGGTACTAACAACTAAATAACAGAGAAATTACCGAAAGCCTCCATGACCGAAGAACATTTGAAGCTTCCCGTATGCATATCATTTCTGCATGGGCTGTTGAATCCCGTAATTCTTCCACTCTGATACACACATCGGTGTAAATATCCAGAAGAAAGCATTTAACTATAAAATATACACATAAGCTAATACAACTCACAGGTTACATCCACGTGCAATAATCTTGGCCTTGTGGTTGAGTATGTGTATGACTTAAGGGAGGATTTCGACGTGGATACAAATGCGGATGAAGTTCGATCCGACATTGAATTCATTATGCTACCTTTGAGTTGTCTTTGTGATAAACTAATTCTTGGTGGTTGTTGGAATTCATCTCCCTTGATATATTGAACGCGAAGTAAACAAAAAAGTGGTAAACGTTGATCGTTCATCTTTAGTATTATTGATTCTTACATCTAGGGTTGTACATATGAAAAAATCATCTTCTTGCAATATATTCTCTTGAAAAAAAATCTTCTGGCATTGTACCAATAAATTCATAGTTCAACGTCTAAGATTGATAAGAACTTTAGCCTGTCATTGCCAGCAGTATAGTGATTGCTAACCCGATCGTAACCCAGAATCCTGATATCCCTCCTTTCAGATGGAGTGCATTTCCTCCATTCTACGAGACAAAAAAGAGAGGGGTCATAGAAAAAACTTTAAAGTTGTCAAGTAACATCTATAAAATTTGAGCTCCGTCATGCAAATATGGTGTTCTATGGTAATAAGAGTAAGAACTGGTTAAATTCTTTACCAAATTGAAACTTGGTGATGGGGCCGGTGTTGTATCGTCCTCTGTATCTGTCACCGTAGGTGGTGCTGGGGGACTTTGTACAGTTGGCGCAGGTGCTGGTGCATGATGATGATGATGATGCTTGTTCTTGTGCTTGTGCTTGTGCTTGTGCTTCCCCTTGTGTTTGGGTGGAGCAGGTGACGGTGCTTGCACTGGTTGTGAAGCTGGTGGCACAATAACTGGTGCCGGCGCCGATACTGGGGGTGCTTTTGATGGTGAGGGCACTGGTGCTACTTTAGCTGGTGCCGGTGCAGGAGTTGCTTTAACAGGAGCTGGAGCTTGAACTGGTGTTGGAGATGCAGGTGGCGCTGCTACAGGAGGTGGCAATGTTGGTGTCGAAACAGGTGGTGATGGCGGCGGATTCGGTGGCTGTGATGGAGTTGACACAGGTGGACTTTGGGGTAGCGGGGGTGGGACTGCTGGGCTTTTGGATGGTGCTACCTTAGGGGAAGGTGATGCAGGTGTGGCGGTTGGTGGGGTTGGTGCTGCATTTACAGGCGGTTGTGTTACTGCGGTTGGTGCAGTAGAAGGTGGTGGGGTTGTAGTCGGCAGAGTAGCCGGTGCAGCTGGTGTGGTAGTAGGCGGGGGCGTTGCAGCTGGTAAAGTAGAGGGTGCGGCTGCCGGTGTCTGTGCACCGGTAAGGATTACTTGAAAGCTGAGGCAACATAAAACCAAAGCCAGCAAAATCGAAACCATTTTTGGAAGACGAATTCCAGTGAACAGCATTGGAGGGTTGTCGGTTATATATTACGTTTGTGAGGAGAGAAAAATGCAGTTTGGTGAAACAATAGAAGTGGGGAGAGATATAATTTTCATGTGATGGGAACTTCTCTGCTAATCATTTGGCAAGCAAATGTTGGTAATGAAGTTGAGAAGCTGGCCAAGAAATTGACAAGGGTCTCGCGGCACCAATGTAGAAGATACATCTATTTTTGATCTTAACAGCAGAGCTTAACTCTGGTAGGAGGTGTTCAGTCCTTTCTGAAAGCAAGGTCCTCAATCCTCAATTCAACACCCTTCGTAACATGGAACGTTGCGATGACAGTATTGTGTTATGCAAGTTACTCCCCTATGAAGCACAGATGACCGCACGGCATTTATTTGTTTGTTTATCGTTCATTTGGTAATTTCTCACTGTCAAAGAGAGGTAGGAGGCACCGTGATTAAAACAAAGGATGGGCAAACAAAGGCCAACAATAATCCAAGCGAATATCATGAATAAAAGCTAGGATAAATAAGAATTAGATACCTCATTTTAGATTTTTCTAAATGAAACATATGTTACTTTTCAACTTTTGATTAAAATGTTTTTACTTTTAATTAAACTTTATATTCCAGGTATATTCTTAATTTAAGTATTTTATAAATTATTTTAAATTCATTTCTATGTAAAAAAAAAATGCACTCAATAATATTCATTAATTTATTGCTATTTTTATGGAATCTCATCCCTTCCTCAATTTAAGGATTCAATTATATCTACTGGGGTTCAAGATTAATTGGATGAGATATAGTTTTTCCAATCTCCAACTCAACATGTTATATAGATTATAAAAAAACAAGAGTCGTTTATAATTAAAATTGAGATGTAGTTTTTTGGGTTACACAACTTACACATAACGTACCATAAGTTTTGTACGTACCAAAATAAGGATAATACAACGTACTAATAACTTGGTACGTACTAAATAAAGAATTGCATAACGTACCAAAAGCAATATTTTATAACGTACCAAAATACTAATATGTACCCAAATTAAATTTATATAATGTACCAATAACGTACCAAATGATTGGTACGTTATATTTAATATATCTGTTTGGTACGTTATATTCAATATATGTGCATGTTATATTTCATAATTGTATGTCAATAGGATGTTTATGTGTTTTTAGAATTTAAAACAACAAATTATTTGAATAAGAAAAATTCATTTTGAACAAATTATGATAAGATAAGATAGGATGTTTGTGGTGATTTTAGAATATTTGTGATATTATTTTCTGAACTAGTTGGTTAATTAAATACAATAAAAATCATAATTTTTAATTAAAAATTAGTAGAAGAATGTTTGATCAAAAGTTTAAAAGTTATAGATGTTTGATTAAAAAAATTCAAATTTGAGGCATTTATATCAAAATGCCCCTAAAAGCTATATTAAAAAAAATAAAAATAAATAAAAATAAAAGAAAGACACTATCTAGAACATCAAAAAAATTTGGGTGCTCCGATGTATCAGATACTTTAGGTGTTTTAACCGTTTTTAGATCTTTATTTTTGTATTTTCAAACAAAGATCTAACGGTTAAAATATCCGAAGTACTGAATACTCACCCAAGAAAGTACCCTAGAGCATTACCCCATTTACGTGGCCTTGCTTGTAAATGCTAGGTTTCTGTAAGTTCTTTTGGCACACGCTTTTGTTAAAATTGCAATTTAATGTTTATTAAAAATTCATATAGTTTTTTTAAAACAAATTGATAAGTGCTTCTCCTAAAAGTGCTTTTATAATTTCCTAGTATTTTTTCCCATTTCACATCATGCACGATGTAGTCATAGTCGGATCACTAGTGAAATCTAATTATACTAGTAGACATATTTTGGCAAAATTTTAGGGCAAACTGAGAGAGAGAGAACTAAATTTCGCCAAAATTCGACACAGATTTGTACATTCATCAAACTGAGTGTCTTTGAACTCTTACAAACAGAACATTATGTGGAAGATGCGATGCATCTTCGTAAGTAACTTTGATGGATGGAGAGAAATTCGATGAAGACGCGGGGGTGCTGCTGCCGGGTCTGCTTGCTTTTCCTTCTTCCTTCTCCTCAGCTGGAAGAATTGCTGCATTATATCTGCACAATCCGATGCCAACACGCCACGTCGGATTGTCATATTTGGGTGGAATGGGTGGACAGGAGGAGCTGGTTTGTCTGAGTGTTCCGAGCTATTTCCTTCACCCCCATCAGGAAAAAGTCTGCAAGCATATTTACAGGTTGATAAGATAAGGAGCAATTGAAGAACACAACTCGCATACCTTATCCAGTTCGAGGTTACGAAGGACACAACTCGCATACCTTATCCAGCTGCCATCAGCTCCGAGAAGCTTATTTGGAGCCCCCCATACAACAGTGTCAACTCTTGCTTGGAGTATTGCTCCAGCACACATTGGGCACGGTTCAAGTGTTACATACAGAGTAGTCTCCTGAGACATCAGAAGACAAGAGTTAAGTCTAAGGTGGGATGGCCTGGCTTCCTTCATCGCTAAGTAGTAAGTTGAGTTACATATAAACCAATGTCAACAAAACACTTCCACAGTTATAAATTTCATGATAAATGTGACTGACATCGCTTCCATTTTACAACTTAGGGAGCTTTTTAACATCCAATAGAAATACAGATATTTGATGTTTAATGAAAAAAGAAAGACTGCTCTCTAACTTTGCAATGTCATCATGCAGACACAGAAGCCAGAAGGAAATTTTTAATGAAGAGGAAGAAAAGCATGATTCCATGACTAGAATATGTCCATTCACATCATCAATATGCATGTATATATATACTGAAATGGGTACTAACAACTAAATAACAGAGAAATTACCGAAAGCCTCCATGACCGAAGAACATTTGAAGCTTCCCGTATGCATATCATTTCTGCATGGGCTGTTGAATCCCGTAATTCTTCCACTCTGATACACACATCAGTGTAAATATCCAGAAGAAAGCATTTAACTATAAAATATACATATAAGCTAAAAGAACTCACAGGTTACATCCACGTGCAACAATCTTCCCTTGTTGTACCAAAACAGCCCCGACAGGTACCTCCCAATTATCAGCAGCCTTCTTAGCTTCGAGAAGTGCTTCTCTCATAAACATTTCATCCATTTTTCTTTGTTCAATTTCAAGTGTATGTGCTTCTTCCCATTCGTCAAATCTGTCTCTGATGACTTGCGTACTCCTCTGAAACTTTCTTTGTTTCAATTCCCCACTCGTTTGCACATTGTCTGATACTCCTTCATTCAACTTCTGACTGCCAAATTGGTCCATGTGCTCCATTGACCCACTTCCGGAGACAATGTTACTGGCATTTGAAATTTCTTCAACAACAGCAGGCTTTACGCCACTAGCAGTTAGTGGTTGAGATGACTCCACTTTTTCAATGCCAGAAGAACCTCGAAAACTCTTTTGATTCTCTTTTGAACCCAAAGCTCTCTCACTAGAAGATGTAGAAATGACTTTTGATGTCAGCTCACTTTCTTCTTTATTAGGAGAAGGCAGTGTGCCTGCTTCAAGATATCTTACTTTGTCCTTTCCACTTTGAGGAAATGATTTAGACGGTTGCAGCTGGTGTTGCAGGTCCTTTTCCCTTTTTGCGTTCTTTTCATTGTTGTCCTCGGTTTCATGGCCAGAAAACCATGCCTCACTACTTGCAGATTCATTTGACGAAATCCTTCCACCCAACTTCACAGCAGAATGAGGGGTCTCAGCATGCGAACTCCAACTCAGCCTAACAATATCTGCAACAATGTTCCATATGGACCTGCCAGTTCTCTTGACAACGGCATCCCCACTTGTTGTAGTAGCCTCTGATTTTTCTAACTTGGGGGTTTTAAGAACAGATGTGTCTGTCACATCCCACATTTCATCTGCAGGCCCCTTGGATCCAGAACCTACAGATGAACGCCTCGTGTCATTTCCCTTCGTCTGAGAGTCTTCAGACCTATTTTGACTAAAATCCACTTGCCCATTCTTCTCACCTTCATGCACCAATTTTGCTTCAGAAACTGTATTTGCATCCTTACTTTCGGAAGTTGAGACTTCATGTCTTGCTCTATCAGAGAGCTCCCCAACAAACTGTGAAGATGACTTCTCCAAACGGTGAGCTGAATCCAAAGCACCTTCAGGATTAACGAGGTATAAAATCTCCCCTTGAGTCTGAGTGTTTCCATTTCCGCTATTTGAGACAGTATTCTCATTCTGGTTTTCAGAAGTTGAGACTTCATGCCTTACTTTCTGAACAAAACCCCTGACAAACTGTGAAGATGATTTCTCCATACGACAAGTTGAACCCAGAGCATCTTCAGGAATGAGGTATAAAATCTCCCCCTGATTCTCGGAGTTTCCACTCCCACAGGATGATTCTTGGTGCAACGCAGAAGTTTGTTTTCCTGAATGAGTACACAAGGCAGGCGAACGACTATCTAGAATTTCTTCAGAAACTCCCTGAGTTGCCGTCCCACTTGATGACTCGATGCGCAGCGATCCTCTAGCTATCAATTGAGAAGGGGGAGGCAGCAGCATTGCCCGTGGGCTTCTCTTATGCCCCTCAACATTATGCGGTTGCGTTGTAGCTTGGGAAACCACGTCCAAAGATGCTTGGAAACTAGAGGCTTCTCCCGAGTCACTTTGGGCCTCTTTTCTGGGTTTCGCTTGTATGCGCTTTTCATCAGCGGTTCCTTTTCCGGATAGAATTCTCTGAAAAGCTTTCTCGTCTATTTTGGGACATGGCTGTGATGACTCTCCACTTGGATTAGGAACCAAGTGTGACTGCCCTACCTGGTTTGTAATTCTAGTTTCAGGCTGAACAATGTTGGCCCTTTCAATATTACTATCACAAGTTTCTGATACTTCAGTGATTTGTGGGGACTTTCTTCCCGAGTCAACAAGTCCAATGACCTGCTGGCCTATTTCCTGGAGTTGCGCGTCAGTCTCATTTGCTGAATTCGACAACATATTTGCTTTTTCTTCCTGATAAATCCTTCTTATATCAGTCTCCCTCCGCCTATCAGAGATCCTTTGAACATCAACAACATGAATTTGTGAGATTTTTGAAATCTTTTGGTGGTCCCTGTTTAACTCTTCTTGTTGACCGATATATCCAGCTGTGTCGTGACGTTCCTCTTGTCTTTCCTGCACCAAGTTTGTAGCTATTGCTAGGTTTTCTTCCCTTCCACTGAGTCTCTCCTGGGACAAGAAAGTTGTTTCAACCTCACTTCCATGGATTTCTGATTCATTGCACTCTTGAAATTTTCTTCTAGAATCAGTCACACCAACCCCAACAACTTGGTTCCCTATTTGACTATATTGTTCTCTTGTTCCCTTAGTCAAATATGAACTCTCTCGCTGATCATCAAAATGCTTGCGGGATCCAGAGGCCTCTCCTAACTCACTTAGATTGGTCTTCGACACTCTTGACGGCATTTCTGAGGATTTCCCACCAGCCTCAATTTCTTCAGCTACTACCTCTGTAAGCTTCTTTTCTGTCTTCTTCCTCCAATCCCACATGACACCACCATCAACTACAGCACTTCTTTGTTTTGTTGTTTCTCCTTTGCCCTTGGAATCGTCTCTATACTTCCTGTTATCTTCAATGACCTGCCCATCAAATCTACCGCCAATATCAAATTTTGAATCCTCGTACACACTTGAAGCTGATTCCCCAAAGAGGCCATGCTTATCCTGAGCATCAGCCTCACTTCCGAAATCACCTGAAGATGACAAAGAGTAATAAGACGAACTAGAACCTCCTTTCATTCCACTACGATTCTCACCTCTCAAAATCATTCCCCTCTCTTCTTTCTGTCTGAAATCCCCTTCACTCAAATCAACTGTGGCTGATCCAAATTGGCGCTTCGAATTACTCTCCGAAGTACTCACCCTAACATTACTTTTCTTCTTCCTACCGTTACACTCACTACTATTGTCTTGTTCGATGTCCACTTGTACGCCCTTAGACGAACTTCCATTTTTTTCTCTACCACCAACACTCCGCCTCTCCACTTCTACTCTCTTAGACAAACCGCCATTTCTCTCTCTACCACTAAAACTCGTCCTACTCTCATCTTCTAGTCTCTTGGATGAACCGACATTTCTCTCTCTACCAATTGATATCCCCCTACTCTCCTCTTCTGCTCTCTTAGATGAACTCTCATTTCTCTCTCTACCAATCAAACTCCTCCTCTCCTGTTCCATTCTCTTCGACGAACTCGCTTTTCTCTCTCTACCGATCAAACTCCTCCTACTCTCCTCTTCTACTCTCTTAGATGAACTGACATTTCTCCCTCGGCCACTCAAACTCCTCCTACCCTCCACCTCCACACTCTTAAACGAAACCCCATTCCCCCCTCTCCAAAAACACTCCTCACCCACTTCCTCACTCAACAAGCTGAGCATAGCCTCGGCATCATCGAGATCACCCGAATCATAAACTCCACCCTCTCCCTCCCCATCAAACACACAACTACACCTCCCATTCCTTCTCCTCCCCCTCCTATCACACACACTCCTCTCCCTAACTGAGCAAGGGAGCCCACAGCAACCCCAGTCAGGCCTACATTCCTGAACACGATAACCACACCGGTCCCCGCCACCCAAAACCAACCTTCTAGAAGCTGACCATTGAAGCAATGTGGATTGCCTCAAACCATACAAGTAACACGGGTTTATGGGCACTCTACGGATTGAAGATTCACAACAATTACAACAACAACACGATTTGGATGATGAACAATGAATTGGGTTTATTGGGTTCCTTTCAAATCTTTCATTCAACAAGTAAGAGTAATCATTGAAGGAATAGGACAGGGAGCCTTGGCTTCTCACAGAATATAAACTGGAGCTAAAATATGTGTTCTGCATATCCACCAGGAGAGGGAGAGAGAGAGAGAGAGAGAGAGAGAGAAGGAGGAAGCTTACCTTCGAATTGAGAAGTGGGTTTTGGAGGGTTCGTGAGAGTGAAGCTCCGAGTGAAGGAAAGGTTTGGTTTTTGGGTGGATCAAAATCCAGATTGCTAATTTTACCCAAAAAATATTTCCAGATTGCTAAGCTGGAAACTGAATGAGAGCAGAACACATCCACCTAGGAGAACGATTCACAATTGAGTGGACTCGTTGGGTACAACACTAACTCGGTCAATTTTTGCGCTCAACCATTTGTTTGGACCGAGTAGTTTTTGACACAATATTTTCTGGACCGGATATTAGATGGAAGGTTAGTGTGGGTTTTTAGTGGGCTTAATGCTTGGTGGACACTAAGTTACCAACAAATGAACCCAATTTCTTGTTCATTGGGCTCATTAATTTTAAGTTTTTTGACCGTAATTCAATTTGCAGGAAGAGCCCGTGTCCAAACAAAATAATTCGTGTTAGGGTGTCTGATCTCGCCGTTTGCATCACAAAAATATAAAATTTTATCTATTAATCTCATCCAATACCACGTAATCATATATATTATATACTGAAAGAATTATCCAAATCAAAAGGTCCTTTTGAATATCTTCTCGCGACGTCCAACTAACTTTATCAACAACAAAATCATATTAATTTGTCTCTGTTTATGTAATATCTAAGAAGTTTTATATGAGTTCTTTTATAACGACTAACTTTGCAAACAACCAACATAAAGACGCAAACTTTTCGTTACCATTACTTAGGTGGTGTTATGAGGACATTGGAGTCGAAATCTTCAAACTTGCAAACGCAAAATTAATATGGATCCAACCAAGTTAATTTTGCTTATCGCAAGTATGAAGATGAGTTGAGGGAAAGGTGGGAAGATAACTTTTTTTTTTTTTTTTAAAGGGATTAGTTGTGGTTTCACCATTGCAGTTTACTTTTTCAAGAATCGGGAAGATTCAAATAAGTTTTTCAATCTTTCTTAAATACTATTTTGTGATTCATATGCATCAAGAATTAAAAATAGAAAGTACTGTATAAAATACAAACATAAAATTCATTTCTAATCACCAAATCGCCTCACGATGGATATAACCAATTAACTATCAATAATCTATCATCGTCTATTTTAATCAATCAATCAATCATGACAGAAAGGATAAATAAAAATTAAAAAAAAATAATGACCAATATAATATTTAATCGTAATATGAAAGCAACTTTCTACTTACTGCTTTGGCTTGCTTCCCCCATTTGTATAATCTACTGACCCCATAAACAATCCCAAACAAGCAACTGAGCTGGGCAAGTGCATAATTAACCAGCTCCACCAATTATTTTCCATCCATTAATGTCAACTCTCCCCCTTATGTTACAGGATATAAACATTTTTGTATAATATGATTATTTAAAAGAAATTTTAACGAAAAGCCTACGGTACTGTTCACTTTAACGAAAAATCACATTTTAACACTAAAAAGTCAAACATGGTACTATTCACTTTACTCTTTATTTTGTCTTTATCATTAAAACTCAAAGATTTCAAACTCTTTTCATTAGTTTTCTTTTATTTAAATCGTGCTTGAGCCAATGTTGTAACATGTATAAAAAAAATTGGGTAATATCAGAATGATTAAATTTATAAACAAAATTTGCAAAACTAAATGATGTGTCATCAATAAAAAAAGAACATGTTTATCAACGATTAAGTAATAATTCAATTATCAACTTCTATATCATTTAATTTGCAAAATCTTGTCTACAAATTTAGCATTACTCAAAAAGATTTATAAGATAAAATAAACTTGGCCTCTAGGGTTTCCACACTTGTTCAAATTCAAGAGTGCCCATGTAGGGAAGTTGCCATATTTGTCCATGCATGGTTGGTGGATGTGTAACGCCACAAAAGACCTTCTGCCTTCGATGATGTTTGGTAGGTCACCTTAATCTCTATGAAAGTCCTTCGATCAAACTAATGGAACTCCACTTCAACACAAAAAAAATTTCTACCTGATGGATATTGTTCCTGATATTGACACTTTCATGATTTCATTCTAGACGTAATACAGATTATTTAAGTATATTTTGAAGTTTTGACTGTTACATCTTTATTTTTTGTCAAATATACAAAGATCAAAAAATAACGATTAAAATTTTTAAAATATAAAATTGTAATCCGAAGTACTAGAGAGTTTTCGGGGTTATACATGGGATTGGAAGAGTGATACATTTTCTTTTACGAGCATGTCCTTCAAATTTGGATGGTGTATATTTAGTTGTCATCCGAAATTTTTACTCAATCTTAATTGACATAATTTGCACAACAATTAACCCCTAAACCTAATGAAACATAACACTTTATTTATCCTTATTTAGGACAAAACATATAGGTATCACCGAGTTCAAATTGAACTTACTTTTAAGAGATTCTGAATAGAGCACGTCTTGAGCGATTTGATTTAGGAAAATAAATTGAATTAGTTGGTTTTGTTTTCTTTTGTCAATCCAAGCCTTCTAAAAAGTCTTCTGTTCTAGACATCGAAGCGTGGCACGAAAGGCTGCCAAACCACACATGGCATGATATAACATCAGCTCGACAAGCACACCACATTAGAAATTGAGCTGCTTCTATTTTCACATGCAAGTCGCGTCCACTTTGTTCCACATTCCACACAACGGAACATTAACTAATTATCATAATCTCAAGTATGATAAATGGAAAATTTGTAGTATCTTTCAGGCTATTTTGTATATTGAAATTTCTTGTCATTGATTAAAATTTAACGACAAAAAATTTGAAGTATAAAATAAAAAGAAAACTAATGAAAAGAGTTCGAAAATTTTAAGTTTTATAATGTCAAAATAAAAAGTAAAATGAATATTACCAGGATTAATTTTTTAATGTAAAAATATGATTTTCGTTAAAGTAAATAGTATCAAAAACTTTTCGTTAAAATTCTCTAAAATAAATTAGAACATAATAGAATTTGTGTAGGATGAATCAAATTAGCATGTATATATAACATTATTACGTGTGCACATACGTCGAGAATAGACTTAGCGAATATTAAATAAGATTGATTGAGAAGACCAAGAGAATTTACATGTGTGCATATATAAATTGTATGATTGATTGAGAAGACCAATAGAATTTAAAATACATGTGCACAATATGTTTATATAAGTTGGTGGAAAAAGCAAAAGAACCCGTAACCCGCACAGCTTTATAATATTACACGACCAGCAGCCAACTGATCAAGAGATTTTTTAGTGTTTTAGGAAGATGATCTAATATACTAAGTGTAATAATACAATTAGCTATAAATTTGAAGAAAAAATTATAACTAATTGTATTGTTACACTTAACATACCTAATTTTATTTTCGGCACATTAAAATATTTCTCCTAATTCACCATTCCATCAAGATCCGCATGGCCCTTCGTTCCCTGGCTAATTCACTTTAATACAACCTAATTAACAAGTAGTTGAATTATTCAAACCCAGAACCTTAGCTAGCTCATAACTCCTGCACGTTACATTTCTTGAAGCTTAGGTTATGAAATAATCGTGAATATTCCACTACTAACAGTACTAGGCATATATGAAGCTTCCGAGTTCCGAAACGCGGTTAATATAAAACCGATACCTCCCACGTAGTCAATCTTTTTTGTATGCAATAAAAAACACTTAGGCCTTTCCATCTCCAAGTCATGCTTGACCATGAGAATAATAGTCGAGTTATAACTTCTATATGGTGCTTGACTTTGATGCCAAGGATCTAGTATATACATTGAAAAAATAGATCTTGACCTAGTATACAAGTTTTGGAGATAATTTTTCAGTGTGCTCAGAACATGGAATAATACATCACGTGTTACTATACAAGTAATGAGATATTTGTGTAATAACTCAAAAAATAAAACTTTCTTCCACTTATATAATAACACGTGGTATACCACTTGTGAAATTGATACCAAGTAGAATACCCCACAATAAAAACTTAGAAGTAATTGTATTGATTAGTCAGATGAATTAGTCAACTAAGTACAAGTTGTTAGATATCCACAAGCATATAAACCAAGTAAACTGATATTGCTAAAGCAAGACAAATGATCTCCATTTATTGTTTTAGCTTTTGTTCTTGAGTTAAGTTTACTTAGTTAACAAAGTGTCAATACTAGCACACCCTACAAAGTTTATCTCTAACAATGATTATATGGACATAAGGGTAACTTTGCAAAGTATTGACACACAATGAAGTTTTTAGCCGGAAAAACCCACCTCTAGGTAAAAAACTGGGGACTCTCCACTGCGTCCAATCCACTAGTGTAAATAAGGTTCATACAAAGACCACACAAGCTCAATTCTTAGATTCCTATCTATGGAGCAGCTTTACCTTTGTGCAACCTTGCCTTACACAAGACGGACTCATTCGGTCCTCACG